CACACACACACACACACACACACACACACACACACACATTTGGAATCCCCTCGCTAATCTCGTCGTCAGGCGAATCTCTACCGCCGCCATCTGAGTCGGGGTCATCCTCCGAGACTTGCAGTTTGGGGGCCTGCCACGACCACGTTCCGACTTTGGTGGAGCTTTGTGCCCCGTCTTCTCCTTGTTGGGCCTCCCGCGGCGGCGACGTGGTGCGGGGACTTATTCACCGGAGCCTTCCTCTTTCGGCCCGCCCTGCTTTTCCAGATGTTGTTGTGTTGGGCATCGTCAGTCTGTGCTGGGTACGGGGGTCTGCCGGAGTGGACCGCTGCTCCTCTCACCGTTGATCCGAGTTTTTCTCGCTGCTCCGCAGCCACAGCCTGCTGGTCCTCCTGCGGCTCTTGCGGTGCAGGCTGCTGCAGTGCCGGTGGGCGGGGTCTTCGTGCGTAAACTGTTGGTGGTGCTGGTTGCTGCAGTTCCTCTCCGTCTTGCTGCTGAGTTTCTTCCACATCCTCCTTCATATCACCCCCCTCTCGCGGCAAACTTTTCTCTCCTTCTTGCTGCACTTTTTTTTCTCCAAGTGCTTCAATATCCACTCCCGCATGCTGCAAACTCCCTTCATGTTCTGCACGCACGGCAGCCTCATTTACCTCCATGGTGTCCACCCTTTCGTCAATTTCATCACTATGCTGCTCCTCATGTTGGCTGACCTGTTTGCTTTGTCTCTCTCTCTCCTTCCGGGTGGGGACAGCAGCACGGCGAGCCTCCTCCTCACACATCCGGAACCAAAGCGGCATCCCTATCTGCCATAGCCTTGGCCCGAGCTGCTTCCTCCTCGTCTGCATTAGGCGTAGGGTGCGCCAAGAACTCGATATCAGTGTCCAGTCTGTCGATGGCTTCGGAAGGCAGCACCTATGCCTCCCTCTCTCGCCTCCTAAGCCTCTGACCGGCGTACGTAGTGGCTGGCACCGCCGACTTGCCCCCCAACTTGAAATCCGAGTCCTCCCCAATGCCATCCTCACCGTCACTCTCCTCGGAAGTGGACTCGTTCCAACACTTCCCCTTCCACACGAGATCCTCAAGATCGCTGCTCCCACTTGAGTCGTCATCCAGCAGGCTCTTCGGAATTCGGTCTTTTGGAGTCTTCTTCAGTCTCTTTTGCCTCTTTTCCTCCTCGATATTGTCCGCTGTCTCATCCTCTGTGGCGTCCTCGACAGCCCCATCTTCCGCTGCCGGCTCCATCAACGGCTCGAAGAAGGATCCCCACACATCGACATAGTCATTGTCCTTGCTATTTGGAACACGCAGCAACTGCATGTTCCAGTGAATGTAAACCAGCTCCTCCAAGGACTCTGGCGAGAGACTGTTTCTGCGCTTTGAATGGACGAAGTCCATCGACGCCCAGTTCTGCTCCGCGGATGTCGCCGTGCTCCACATTCCCAACACGTTGATGGCGATCTGCTGCAAATGTGGAACATCCCCACCGTACAAGGTCCACCAGTCCGCAGGCGTACATCGCATTGCTTGCTTGATGGCAACTGGTGTCCACATGTGTTCATCTATCCTGACTTCCCCTTCCACAGGCTCTCTCAAAAACTCGTACAGATGATCCCACATGTCCATGTGCAGCTTCAAATCCCACTCCGCTCCGATCTGCCTGCAGAAGAAGCGCATTGCGTTTTGCACGAGGGCGCTGTCCGGATCGTTGAGCCAACCTGAATCTCTCCTCCGTGGATCCAACAAAAACGCAGCTGCATGAACCGGCTGCCGCATCATCTGCACGCGGTCTTTGACCTTGTCCATCACATCCTCCCTCTCCTTCTTCGTGAGTACGACTTTTGCTAATTTCCTTGCAATGAGATCGTCAAACTCCGCAAGGTTGGTGGGAGAAACTCCTTCCCTGTCCATCCTTGCCACAATTTTCCTGACTATGACCCACCAACTATCTGACCTCAAAGTGTAGTAGACAAGGTGGGCTTTTTTCTGCAGCTTCTCTCCCGACCATCTCAATGCCCGCCACTTTGTTGCACAACCTCCGTCCACCATCTCATTCAACACTTTCTCCGTGTCCGCCAGCCTCTGTAGCATCTGGTACACCGACCCGAACCGGACCTCTGTCGGGCGCAACAATGACAACGAGTCATTGAAGGACATCATGAGACCGTGCGTGGCGTGATGGTTCCTCATGAACTTCACGATCGTGTTCGCCGTCTTCACTGTGTCCTTCACCCAAAGCTGTCTTCACTGTGTCCTTCCCCCAAGGCAAACTGCTGAGGTCCTTCACCCAAGGCAAACTGCTGAGGTCCTTCAACAACAGACTGCAGCAATGCACTCCACATGACATCCACAATATCCTTGCAACTTCTCTGTCGGTCCGCCTCTCCAAGATCTGCGCCGCCTTCTTGTTGACCTCAGCGTTGCCTGTGCAGATCGCGTTGTTCCGTTTGAGCCCGATCTCCCACATCACCTGCTCCCACAACTTCGCCAATGCTGCTGCGTTTTTCTTCCTCCCAGTCATGTAAACCGTGGTCACCAAAACTGCTCCTTTCTACCCCGCTGCTAGGAAATTCATGACCGACCGGTTCTTGCGATCTGTCGATCCTTCTGTGATGAATGTGCAACCGATTTTGTCCCAAAAAGCAGTCAAGGGGTTGATTGACTTCTGGACCTTCAGGAAGATGTAGTCCAACATGACAGTCCGCATATGCTTGTAGGTAGGCAAATTCACCTTCGGCTTTGCATTGGCAACCTCCAAGTAAGCGTCGTGAAGAGCCTGCGTGGTGTCGAAGTTCAAGAAGTTGAAAGCAATTCCAACCCTGAAAATTGCTTCCGCCCACGCAATGTCCAACTTCTTTTGTGCATCGTTGTCAATCCACTTTCTTATTGTGGTTTGCGTCTTCGCCAGCACAGCACGGGCCGCCCCTCCACCGGTGCCATCATCACCCTTCACTGCAGCTTCATCATCTGTTGTTGCGATCGATGCAGCAAATTGTGGAACAGACCGTCCTCAAACAGGCAGAGGCACGGCCAAAACGAAGGATCATCCGCATTTGACGCATCCTCCGCAGCCTCTTCGCCCCCCTCTGCGCCCCTGGCGAGTCCTCTGAAGTTTTGCAGCAAGTACCGGGTGTTCTTGTCTTTGGGGTTGACCTTGCCTCCCTGAGTAACAAGCTCGTCCACAATCTCCCCTGTCCGAAAAGGACACGGCTTCTGCACTTTCAAGAAATGCTTCACTGCCTTTGTTGATGAGCCCCTGAACCCCTTGGAACAAAGGCGACACTTCAGCCAATACTCCCCACATCCTGTTGGGACTGCCTCCTGTCCCTATTCGACCCACTTCCAAACTGCATTCTTCTTCAACAGCTTTTTATGCTCGTTCTCGTCCTTAGCTTGAAAGAGATCAGGATCAGTGCCAGGTGTTGCTTCCTTGTTGATGGCCGTCGTTGTTGACTGCGCTGACTTGCTTGACGAAGGCTTGTCGGAAACAGCCTGCACTTGCTCTTTCCCCTTGCCTGCATCGGTGCTGCCTAGCCTGTGTCTCGTCGGCCCAGGCCCGCCACTGTCGTCACCCACCATGATGTCTCCCGCGGTGATGTGGGAAAATAAAAGGCTAATGGAGGAGGACGAGAAGAAGATGACGAAAAAGAGGGAGGAGAAGAGTAGGACGAGGAGGTAGAGGAAGAAGAAGAAGACGAAGTATGCAAGGAAGATGAAGCAGCTTTGGGAAAAAAAAAAACAAAAAAAAACGGCTATGGCTAACAGAGGACGAGGAGAAGAAAATGAGGAGGAGGAGGGAGGAGAAGAAGAAGACGAAGAAGAGGGAGGAGAAGAAGAGGAGGAGGAGGAGGAGGAAGCAGCTTTGGGAAAAAAAAAAACAAAAAAAAACGGCTATGGCTAACAGAGGACGAGGAGAAGAAAATGAGGAGGAGGAGGGAGGAGAAGAAGAAGACGAAGAAGAGGGAGGAGAAGAAGAGGAGGAGGAGGAGGAGGAGGAAGAAAACGACGAAGAAGAGGGGAGAGAAGATGAGGAGGAGAGGAAGAAGAAAAAGAAGAAGAAGAAGAAGAAGAAGAAGAAGAAGAAGAAAAAAAAAAAGAACGCAAGGGATTTGAACAGCACCTGAGGAAAAAAAAAAAAAAAAAAAAAAAAAAAAAAAAAAAAAAAAAAAAAAAAACAACGACTATGGCTAACGGACGAGGAGGAGACGAAGAGGAGGAGGAGGAGGAGGGAGAAGAAGAAGAAGATGACGAAGAAGAGGAGGAGGAGGAGGAGGAGGGAGAAGAAGAAGATGACGAAGAAGAGGGAGGAAAAGAAGAAGAAGAGGAGGAGGAGGAGGAGGAGGAGGAAGAAAATGACAAAGAAGAGGGGAGAGAAGAAAAGGAGGAGGAGGAGGAGGGAGAAGAAGAAGAAGAAGACGAAGACGAAGAAGAAGAAGAAGAAGAAGAAGAAGAAGAAGAAGAAGAAGAATAGTGAAAACAGGGGCCTTGAGGCAGCAACGAAAAAAAAAATAAAAAATTTAACGGGTATGGATAACGGAGGAGGAGGAGAAGAAGAGGAGGATGAGGAGGAGGAAGAAGAAGAAGAAGATGACGAAGAAGAGGGAGGAGAATAAGAAGAGGTGGAGGAGGAGCAAGAGGCGGAAGAAGAAGAAGAACGCAAGCCGATGGCTAAGAGAGGAGGACGAGAAGAGGAGGAGGAGGTAGAAGAAGAAGAAGAAGAAGAAGAAGAAGAAGAAGAAGAAGAAGAAGAAGAAGAAGAAGAAGAAGAAAAAACAAACCTGGGGGCATCATGGAGTGGNGGGGGGGGGGGGGGGGGGCGATGGCGTGGCTAGCTGGCGGAGGCGACGATGGCGATGCTGCACCACACGGAGACCTACCGACGATGGCGCGGCTGGCTGTCAGAGGCAACAACGGAGCGGTTGCACAAACTGTGGGCGGGGTTGAACGTGCAATGTGTTTTCCCCCGCTGCGCGATCGKTTTCCCGCCACAACAGATTCAAAACAGTGGCCGATCTTTGCCGCTGATCTGCGACGATTGGCGACCAAGATTGGCCACTTTTTGGACTTCAAAAATGCAGGCCTACAGGACACGGTTTCGTTATTTCTGGGCAGGGCCCGCCCCCACGAGGCCTCCCTGACATGTATGCGCCACCAAAAAAAAAAATTCAGGCCCCAGCAAAAATGCGCTGGGGGCAACCGGGAGGGGACCGGCCCGGGCCACCGGCCGGTCCAACTGGGAGGACCGCGGATGGGGTAGGGTTCCCCGGTCCATCCGGGGACCAGCCCTGGACCGGACATGTTTGACGGAGATTTGAACGGAGCAAGTTCTTTGATGTGATTGAGTGCGAGGGGTATCCATTGTAGGTTGCTCTGTAGGGTCAGTCTTAGTATCCATTTTGTTTGTAAGGCTTGTATTTGGCGTGTCGGGTCTAGGAGGCCTAGTCCTCCCTTTTCCTTAGGCGAGGTGACTATCTGCCATGCTACTTTGTGGATGAAGTGTTGTTTGCCTGGGTTACCGGTCCATAGATATGCTGCTGCTCTTTTTCTGATCTGCTGTTGGAAGTCTGAAGAAGGGAACCAAATCGAGGTAGCATACCACATCATGGCTAGTACCGAGTTGTTCAGTACTAGCACCCTTCCTAGGAGTGATGTATGGGCCTGTTGGCATCTATTCAGTTTATTGATCATGACCGAAAGTAGGGAGGCCGCTGAAGCTGGATGGCACCCTTTTATACTGAGTTGGATTTCTAGGAAGCGGATGGGGGTTGACAGGTCAGCCCATTGCATGCCTTCAGGTGTAGTTTCCGTGGGAGGGGGGCTGGATAAGATCCATGCTAAACGCTGGCCTGCAGGGAGGGAAACCTGGAAAGTCAAAAAAGCATACCTGAACTGTGAAGACAAATGGAATGAAAACAAGGTCCCCAAAGATAAGCATGTACCCAAAACGCTCAGCAATTATATCCCACCTGTGATCCAGATTAAGCAGACAAAACAGACCAGACCATACGATTTCAAATTGATGAGGAGTGGGGAGGAGAAACAAACAAACAAACAAAACACCAAGACAAACGAGATAACACCATGATGATGCCATGTAAAAGAAGAAGAAGAAGAAGAAGAAGAAGAAGAAGAAGAAGAAGAGGAAGAAGAAGAAGAAGAAGAAGAAGAAGAAGAGGAAGAAGAAGAAAAGAAACACACCATGATGTCAGAATTTCAAAATGGCCGAGACGGTGACTGTGGAGCCATCAGGGGGCATTGAGTGTTTTCACAACTTTTTTTTCACTGCTACAGTCTTTGTGCATGCATGATGCATCGTTTGGAAACAAGCTGTACCCTTGCAGAGCACCTCTTGTTCTTTCCATTTTTTCAAAGGGGGCTCCTGCGCCACTAACCTTATTGTGCCCAACAGGGTCCGAACTTCGAACACCGGACCTTGTTGGGCCCAACAGGGTTCGAACTTCGAACCCCTGGGCCCTGTTGGGCCATGCAGGGTTCAAACTTCGAACCCCGGACCCTGTTGGGCCCAACAGGGTTCGAACTTCGAACACCGGACCCTGGTCCGAACTTCGAACACCGGAACTTCTTTTTTCAACGGTTAAAAGTGTGCAGTACTGTGTCATACCATTCAGCCACCAGGGCCAAGCAGTGGCCCTTTATCTATGCTGACAATGAAACAGAGAGTGGTGGCCTTAGACACCACCTCTACTTGATGGGGTTGGGGGACGAAGAGAAGGGAGGCACAGCTACTGGCAAACTGCTCGATCTTCGCCTTAGTTGCCCGGCCCCCCGGCCCCCCTACCCTGCACCCTGGACCACTAGGGCAGGGAGCAACATGCAATATCCCCTTCACTGTGCGAGAGAGCTACACGTGCAGGGGTCCCCTGTATAGCCCCCTACCGTCTTCACCCTAATAGAACGCCCGGTCACTATAGCTGCATTTCGCACAACTTCCAGTCCAGATGCAGCCAAAATTACCCGGTGTTTTATTCGGGTGACGACGGTAGCAGGTATACTGGTGAATGCTACTGAATGGTGCCTTTGAGAGAAGAATATGAAAAGACAAAAAAAGGCACTGACACAGAGAGTACTTTCCAGATGCAGCGCATGTGGCGGCAGAATGATACGCACATGTTACTGTCGATGAGCAGGTCATGAGTTCAAACCCCGACAGAATCAGATGAATATAATAATGTTCACAAGCACACTGAATTCTCATGTACAATAACGAGAGCCCATTTACATTTACACCCATGAACTGTTGATAGACATACCTATGTTTGAATCCCAATGAACTTTCGTTATGAATGAAATAACTCTAAGCTACCAGAGGGCCGTCAGTTCAACATTGATACCTCAAGCCCGCCACCCTTTGAGGAAAAAAAACAAAACAAAACAAAACAAAAGGAAAGGCTATCGTGTAGAAACATTGACTTAGCACCGGACAACGGAGTAGAAACAATAAGCCACTGATCACACATGCACAAGATGTTGACAGCTCGACAATTTTGATGTCCCTTGATGAAGAAAAAGACCCCCAACTACAGTCTTCACTCGAACAGAACGCCAGATCATTATCGCCAAATCTAGTCTAAAAATCGCACCGAGTACAGCTACAGTCGCGATTATAAACGAGCCGCCAGCCAAGTGGACCATAGGGTCCTACAGTATGGATGCCAATTAGACGATATCCTCACTCAGAAACTGACTAACACCATCGCTGCAGTTGAGATAGGTGGCGCTGGCGGGGGTGGAGATGGTGACGATGATGGGGATGGCGACAAGGAAGGAAAGGGTCCAGAAAGGATGGAAGGAATGAAGGAGATAAGTATGGGGGAGGAGAACGAAGGGAGAAGATGAAGGTAAAACTCCCTTGGACATCCACTGGGAAGAAGGAGGAAAGCATTTTTTCATTGGGAGGTGGCGATGGACATGTACCTAGTTGATTCCATATTGGGACCGCGTACTTATGGCAAGTTCGTGTCTAGGGGGAGATGACGCAATCTTCGCAATTTCGTTGGTGAAGGAGGCAGCTTGTACCTCAATGGTGCAGTACTCACAACGCACTAGGATAGATGATTTTTTCAAGGCCTTGAAAAACCGGTTCGAAGATAAAAACTTAGCCCGCCGTACTGAGTCCCTCATCCTCAACATTAGTGACCGCAAGTGGAAACGTGCGTCGACACTCAAGGCCACTTGGACGAGTTGCTGCAACATCCGGAACACGGACTGACCCCCACTCAAACCCTGAACAATTTCGCTAAAGTGCTTCCCGAACCCCTTAAGACCCAGTTATATCCCCGTACCAAAGAGGAGGGGATGACTTACGAAAAGTTTAGTAAGATTGTTGTAGACCATGCCGACTTCCTGCAAGAGGCTAACTATTGCCACTATTGGAAGGATCTGCAAGCCGGTAAGAGGTGGAAGAATAGGACCATATCTGACAATGTAGAAAGTAAGGATAATCTGCTGGTCACCTTCGAGGAAGGAGGTGTAGAGTCGTTACCGTACGACCAAATAGATTATGGTCTAGAAGAGGAGAACAACAGTCAAGCAGCCGGGGAGGGGACTATGCGGCAGTTGCAGCCCGTGGGGGAGGGCAACAAGGTAGAGGTCGAGGTAGAGGAGGCTGAGGTCAAGGAGGAGGTGGAGGACGAGGACCCACTGCCCAGAGGGGTGGTGGCGAAGGTAGCTATTACGTGGGAGGTAGGGGTTATGGTCCCTCGCAAGGTGGTAGAGGTTCTCCTTTCACAGGAGGTAGAGGTAGAGGTAGGACTTGGCGGCTGTACCCAAAGCACCCGGGAATAGTTGAGGGGAACCTTGGGTAGAAACGGGAATAGACAAAAAGATATGGGATGATCGTTGCAAGGCCGGGCAATGTTTCAAGTGTGGTGACCCCAACCAAATTGTTCCTTTTTGTCCCTAATATCGGTACCTAAAAGGGAACAACCAATAGAGGTTGCAGTCGCCTCTACGGGGACTTCGGACTTAGACAGAGAGATAGAAGCTCGCACTGAGAAGGCACCCTCCTGTTCGAAGATCCGGATGGCAGAGACAGTTGTATTCCCCCACCTAGCTAGTTGTCTAGAGGCTGCTTGTGCTAGGACCTCTCTCGGTGCTTCCCTCGCAAGCATTGGTGATGAATTGATCACTCGTCGTCACGCTTGGGCCGAAATGAAGAAGTAGTCGAAGGGCAACTAATAATAGCAGATGTAGAAGTGTGCAAAGAAATGATAGGTGCGCTAGTAGACAATGGGTTGACACGCAGTTATATTAGTAGAAGCGGGTTGTGGAAGATGCACCTAGGAATGAAGGTGAAAAAACTCGATGAGTCGGTCGTTAGTAAATTGGTCGATAATAGAGAGATGATAGTATGCAAGTATGTTGACGGGGTCAAGGCATACTTCCGGTTGGAGGCAGGCGGAAAAGGAGAGAAAGTTATGCATTCCCTAACACTCTTAGTTCAGGATAACCTTCCTTTTGACATGATATTAGGAACAAATTCGGGCAACACCGCGTATGCTGATATTGAGATGGGCGAGCACGAGTGCTGGCTGCCCAGTCCCACAAAAGGGAAGAAAAGTTGCGTTTATATTTTGCGTCCGGCATGGAGAGTAGTTTGTCCCTTTGTTGTATGAATGGCCCCCACGTTCACCAGGCACGTGGTCAAGAATGACCTTGCTGAGCAGGTGTTTGTTGCTTATGTGAGACCAGTTAGTGAAGGGAAAAAGGAAGAAGTGCCCATACCGCCCAAAGTCCAAAGTCTGTTAGACCAGTTCGCTGATGTGGGAGAGGCCCCAAGTGGAGTTGTGGAAAGGGAGACCAAACACCGGATAAACATAGAACCCGGTAGCTCGATTCCCAAGGGCCCCATCTATCGTATGTCTCCCAAGGAGCTCGATGAATTACGCAAACAGTTGGATGAGTTGATAGAGAAAGGGTGGATTAAGCCAAGTTCTTTGCCATATGGTGCACCGGTCTTGTTCGTGTTGAAGAAAGAAGGCGATCTGCGTATGTGTATAGACTATCGGGGACTCGATGCGATTACCATTATGAATGCAGAGCCATTACCGCGGATAGACGACCTTTTGGATAGAGTGCAGGGTTGCAATTTTTTTCTCGAAAATAGACTTGAAGTCTTGGTCCCCATCAGATTGAGGTGTTGCCCGAGGATCAACATAAGACGACCTTTAGAAGTCGATATGGCCACTACGAGTTTGTGGTCATGCCGTTTGGGTTGACTAACGCCCCTGCTACCTTCCTGCTTTGCATGAATGAACTCTTCCGCGATTGGTTAGATAAATTTGTTGTTGTATATTTGGATGACATTCTGATCTTTAGCAAGTCGTTAGAGGAACACCAACAACACTTACGTTTAGTGCTAAGTAAGTTGCGCGACGCACAGTTTAAGTTGAACCCAAAGAAGTATAAATGGGCCAAGCGTCAGGTGTTGTACTTGGGACATGTGTTAGACAGAGATGGAATTAAACAGGAGGACGCTAAGATAGGAACAATCAGAGATTGGATGACACCACGTACGTTGACGGAACTATGATCATTCCTTGGTCTAGCCAACTATTACCGCAAGTTCATGAGAAACTTTACTGTAATAGCTGCTCCATTGCATAGGCTGTTGAGGAAAGAGGCAGTTTGGAAATGGGATAAGGACTGTACTTCAGCCTTTAAGCGTATGAAGAAGTGCGTGATAGAGTACCCGATTCTTAAGATCGTTGATCCGTCCTTGCCGTTTATAGTGACCATTGACACCAGTCAATACGGGACAGGTGATGTACTCCAACAGAATGATGGAAATGGGTACAAACCTGTTGAGTTCATGTCCTGTAGACTGCCTAGTGAAAAGGTCGCTGCTTCTATATATGAGAGGGAGCTGTTTGCTCTTAGAGAAGCCTTGAACCATTGGCGGACATTATCTCCTAGGACGGCATTTCAAAGTTTATTCAGACCATGAGACACTTTGCTGGCTGAAGACCCAAGCTAGAATGACACCTAAGTTGACAAGGTGGGTTGGGGAGATTGACGACTTTGACTTCAAACTAAAGCCATTCAAAGGGAAGTATAACGTTGTCGCTGATGCGCTAAGTAGGCGAGCAGATTTCTTCGGTGCCACTGTAACATACTTGGATGCGGGCGTTGAATTACAAGATAGGATCAGGTACGCCTACACTAGTGATCTAGTGTATAGTCAGTTCATTGGCAAGGTGCAAACAACACCACACGAAGTTCCAGATTATAGAGTGACCCAGGGACTGCTGTTTGAGAAGACAGACGTGCATGACATATTGTGCATCCCAAACAGTGAAGAGATTTGTAGTCTAATCTAGGGGAATGCCACGATACCGAGGGACATTGTGGTTGGAGGAAAACATATGCTAACCTCCTACGTTCCTACACGTGGACTGGTATGAAACATGATTGTATAGCTTATGTACAAGGCTGCAAAGTATGTCATCGGAACAAGGGTTCCACACAGGCTCCCCTTGGTTTACTTAGACCGCTGCCTATACGTCAGGTCCCGGAGACTCCGGGTCTATAAACTTTATAGGCACTAAGGTGAGAAGTAGGAACGGGAAGAACCAAGTTATGGTGATAGTGGACAGATTTAGCAAGTTTGCTGTTTTTGTGCCACTCCCTGCTGACGCCAGGACATACTTAGTAATACGAGAGTTCTTTAATCATTGGGTCAAAGACTACGGGCATCCCTTGACTATTGTAAGTGATAGGGATACGAGATTCATGGGCGAGCACTGACAACAACTCATTAATGTTTATGGGTCCAAACTAACTACGTCCTCAGGCAGGCATCCACCGCGCAGATGAACAAAGTGTTGCAACAGGCGCTGCGATTGATTGGGATGAACATCTAGCTAAGGTTGCTAGTACCTATAACAATTCCGTGCATTCGGCTACAACACGAACACCCACTGAGCTGCATTTGGGTTGGCATCCACGTAGGCCCATTGATTGTCTGAACCTTGATCAAGTGCAAGGGCTTCCTCTAGGGACTCGAGAGTTTGCTGTGCAGTATGAGAAAGACTTAGAAAAGGTAAGGGAGAACAGAAAGGCACAACATCAGATGATAGAACAAGCAAATAAACACCGCAGACCTTCGCAGTTCGCCGTAGGGGATTCGGTCTGGGTAAAGTCTAAGGAGTTTCTCCCAGAGGAGAACATCTCGCAGAAGTTATTGCCTGCGTATAGGGGACCGTGGCAGGTACTTGACGTGATTGGTGATGTGATTGGTCCTTCCTACGATGTTGAGATTCCTCCGCATTTGCACACTTACCCGGTGTTTCATGCCTCTAAGTTGCCCCTTGTGTCAGCAATGAGCTATTTCCATCTCGAAGATCTATGATTCCTCCTGATATGGATGGTAAATATGACATGGACCGAATCATTGCAGAGGATGTTTATAGATCTGGACACAGGGGTAGGCCCCATCAACAATACAAAGTTAGATTTCACTTATCAAGAGCCTTCGGAAGATTACTGGTTTACTAGAGATGAGCTAGTCGAGACAGCACCGCACATAGTGTCCTACTATGAGAGAGATAGGCGAGGAACCAACATAGTTGATAGGTAAAGATTGTAACTTTCTCGGAGGACCTCGAAATTAGGCTGGCGACTCTGTGGCGAGAGTGAAAGGCATTCCATGATGCAGACTCCAATTTGAATTCCAGGGTCAAGGTCTCAGGCCAAGGGAGGCCAAGTCGGTCAGTTTCAGAAAAGTCACAGTCGGGTACCTTAGAAGTCAAGTCCGACAGGCACCCGGTAAACAGTGGCATCCCAAAGGCAAAAGTTGCATTCTGTAAGCAAAAGTCATGTCTCATATTGAAAAGTCATGTCCCACAGGCAAAGGACACTTCTCCAGGCAAAAGTCGTGTCCCAGAGGCAAGAGTCACATCCCACAGTCAAAAGTCATGTTCCACAGATGAAAAGTCGTGACTCACAGACTCAAGCAGCAGCACACCAATAAAAATTCGGGAAAAGTACCAGGCCTTGACACTCTGAAGCAAGCAGGCCGTGGGCATGTGGTACCGGGTCCAAGTCAAGCCAAAGAAAGCAGAGGCTGGGACGAGTTGAGGCTCAGTCCAAGTCAATATGCGGACTGGCCAGCTACGTTTCAGGGAGATTGCTCATTCGTGAGAGGTGTGGAAGTGCTGCTGTAGCGCTTGTGAACTATCTGCGAGTAGCATGCACGTGAGAGCTCTGCTGGGTTGTGCTGCACGGAGAGGGAAGGCGTCCATAGCCGCATAAGTTAGTAGTAGGGATAGAGCTGAGTAGCAGCGGATGTATTCAGAGTCAAGATTATCAAGGGGGGGGGAGAGAGAGAGAGAGAGAGAGAGAGAGAGAGAGAGAGAGAGAGAGAGAGAGAGAGAGAGAGAGAGAGAGNATGCATGAAGAAGACCAGGAGGGACACAGAGAGAGAGAAGACAGAGAGAAAGAAAGAGAGAGCGAGCCAGGGAGAGAAGAGAGTCAATTCTGCACTGTTGAGCGCTTGGTGACTGGGTCTCCGAAACTGTTTAATGTGATAATTTGTTGGAATTTCTAAGCTACGCATATCTGGACTTCGCATCTCTGGACTCCAGTGTGGATTTCGTGTAATCTCTCAATGTGTGAGTGTTGCTCAAGGTGTCGAGCAGTGGGGCTCAATGCAGATTGACCGCGAGAAATCGCCATGCCAATCATAATGCATTTGCCGAAGTGTTTGTCTTGAATGTGCAAAATTGCTGTGCAAAATTGCTGTGCAATCTACCAATGGCCGCGGAACACCGCATGATTCGAGCCCCGGACCAAAGAACTAGAAACGGGAAACAAAAATGTCAGGTTTTGAAAACGGGACACCACTGAGACACCCTGGGCTCAGAGTGGAGCGTTTTACGAGACCAAGGAAAAAACAAAGCGAAAAATAAAGAAAAAACTGAAAATTAGTTTCCCCAACCTAAAATCAACAGAACCAAAGCACTGATGAGTAGGTGTACAGCGGAATCTTTGTGAGATTGTATTACAATACGAGTTTGCGAAAGAAGTTTTTCCTGTGATTTCTTGGATGGGGCAACTCTGCTGCGGAGTCCGTGGGAGCCTTTGCCAAATAGAAAAAAACGAAAGCAGAAAAAAAGAAAAAAAGAAAAAAAGAAAAAAAGAAAAAAAGAAAAAAAGAAAAAAAGAAAAAAAGAAAATTTCAAAAAAAACATACGATACATGGCCGAAGCTCCACCAAGCTACATCCAAAAATGTGGAGAGTCCTGGGAACTCAGTGGAGAGGTAAACCCCACACGGACCACCGGAAACCCTCGCAAACCTTGCGAGAGCCCCATATGAAAACAGGGGAGAATAATCAGGTTGCAGGAATCCTGATGGGGTGCAAAGAGACAATGCAACAGGGATTCTAGGGATGATTTCTAGACTTGTAAACTTTCTTTTATTTTTTTTCCCTGATTGGTTGTTTGGAGAGCGGAAAGATGGTTGTTTGGAGAGCGGAAAGAGGAGGAGAGAGAAGGAGGAGGAGGAGAGAGAAGGAGGAGGAGGAGGAGAGAGAAGGAGGAGGAGGAGGAGAGAGAAGGAGGAGGAGGAGGAGGAGAGGAGGAGACATGGAGGAGGAGGGGGAGGAGGAGGAGGAGGAAACGTCACCCACGTTGTCGTCATGAGCTCCTCAAACCAAAGATAGTCAACTATGTAGACCTGTAACCAAATCCAAGAAGAGTACAATAACATCAAAGGCTCAAAGGAATGTTTGTCACAAAAAGATTTGAAAATTTTGAAAAACAGTGAGGATTAGTGAGAGTTGAATAGCAAGACGCTAGTCACGCTACTCTTTGTCCATGCAATGACGTAAAAGCACTTAGCAAACAGAGCGCATCAAACACTCAGTACACCAATAGAAGGCAAGGCTTTTTAATACCCAGCCAATCTTGCTGAGTTTGTCACCAAAAGAATGCAAAATTTGAAAGAAAGGAAAAAAAAAAGAAAGAATTCAAAAATTGAAAGGGATATGACGAAAATCTTTAAACCCAGCCAATGTGGCTGAATGGTACACCGTATTACACACATGTCACCGGTAATAAATAGATCATGAGTTCAAATCCTGACTGGACAACAACAATAATGTTTGTTAGAGTATGCTGGACATTGTTAGTGGCTACCCCCTTTTGGAGAAAAACAAACGGAACAAAAAGGCCGTAAATTTTTAAACCACCATTACATCCGGCCCTAAACGGCCCGAACTTAACGAGGCCTGGAACCAACATCGGTCTCTGCCAGCCTGAGAGGAGGTAGTCAGGGCCTACTGCAGTCACTACTTTTTTCTGAAAATAGAGGCCCTTCTACGTAGCAGCCGTTTAAGGCAAAGCAAAGGCGATGTTGCGTGATTACAGTATTTTCAACACCTTCAATATGCTGGAGACAAATGATCAAGCGTTAGTTAGTGTAGGGTTTAGGATTTAGTCTTCAGGATTTGAGAGTTTCGGGTTTAGGATTTGGGGTTTAGGTTTAGGGTTTAGGTTTAGGGTTTAGGGTTTCGGGTTTAAGATATGAGGATTAGGGAGAAGGATTTAGGGCTTTCCCCTGAATAGAATGGACAGTCATTATCGCTGTGCAAGGAAAATGAGCGCTAGCGAAATGACAGAAATCCAGAATGCAAAATCACATGGAAAGCCAGAAAGTCCAAAGCTGTCCAGAAAGCAGAAATGCACCGATATATCACCAACGGAGAACCAAAGCACTGAATCCGAATGTCAATGAGAGCATACTCTCGCGACCACCAACATATGTATCCAGAGCCCTTCCTCCTACTTGGCGCTCAGAACCCAGACTACGATCACGCAGCTACTACCAGCCTACGAATTGACCATGCAACCTGTTGACGTCAGCAGCAGAATTGAAGTACATGAAGATGTCGACCCTTATAGACCATCACCAAGCCCAGGTACGTGCCCTCACATCATCATCCTCATCTCCCTTTCTCTCTCACCCTCGACTTCTACACCCACGTCTTCTGCCTCATACACGAAGACCACCACCACCTCCCGCTGGCTATCCAAGCCCAATCCCGGTTTCATAGGCTGGGCTATGGCGCTGTCCTCAGCAGCACCCTGCCTCTCGCACAACCGCACGCTCGCACTTCTGCACTGGCACTAGCAGCAGCACGCGAGCGCTCACTCCAGCAGCGCTGCCGCCCGCTCTACCAAGTGGCCGATCCCCATGCGGGAGCCCGACCCTTTCCTATATGGAAAGTGGCGGGCGCATCCCACTTGCTTGCCTTGTGAGACCGAGTTTCCAGTAGCTTCAGTCTCGGCCAAAGTGTCTGCGCCCCGGCCCGTTCAGACAGTGGCCTGGGACCGATTTGGTTAGACATGCCCAACCACCCACAACGTGCGGTGTTCCCTGCTTCAACCACGTTGCTGGAAGAGCCTGGAAGGCTCACAAGTATTTCCGATTCTCATGAGCAAAGCGGATGTAACCAACTGGCGCATGGCAACTGTCTGGCGCCCACCAAGATTTGCAAAAATTGACGAGTTCAGGGAAACAAATATAGAAATAAATTCAAATAGTCAAATCAACTGGTCTAGCTAAGTTCAGCTCAAAGACAATATCTCAAGGTCGTCGCCTTTTACACCACCAATACCTCCGAGCCTCGTTTTCCCGTGGCTGATTTCTGCTGCTCCCCAAGTCCCAAACGAACGGGCGCGGGATGCTTTTTTCTCTCTTCTTGCTGGCACTGCCAGCCAAAAAGGTCCGGGAGGCCGAGAACCCGAAGAATGTGGTGGTGGACACTGGACAACTTTTTCACAAAAGTTCGTCGGTGAAAGGTAGTGGTGGTTTAAAAAATGAAAATTTAAAATGAAAATTTAAAACCAGTTAGTTAAGAGACCAAAATTATGCTGAAAATGAAGCACTGAGCGTACCCCTGTGAAAACTTGGTAGAGCTTCATGGCCAGCGAGAGAGAGCCCCTGAGCTCAAACTGCTTGGCCGCCAGAGAGACGTTGATGAGAAGCCAGGCAGTCATCCCTGCCCTTATCCACAGAAACCTGCACAACAACAAAAAAAAAAAAAAAACGAAAGAAAAGGAAAGTAAAAAAAAAAAAAAAAAAAAAAAAAAAAAAAAAAAAAAAAAAAAAAAAAAAAAAAGAAAAGGTCATGTAAAAAAAAAAAAAAAAAAAAGTGTCCATCACATACCATTGCAAGGAGCCTACGAAGAACAAAGTTCAACAAACTCAAATCATCACAAGCAAATTGAGGTCTCAAACACCAGCATTGACTTAGCGACTAACCAAAGAGCATAATCCTTTTTTTTTTTTTTGTAATCGACAAATCAATGATCACAATTTCACGCGATATTGAAGTTTCTTGACGAAGAAAGCCCTCAACCCGCATTGTCTTGTCAAATCAGCAAGGCCTATAAGGCGATAGGAATTTGGCAGCAGTAGTTTGCCTTGAGCTAATCTCGCTAGCCAGAAGTTGAGATGCTTATCAAGATTTTGCTTAAGAAATGGTTCATCAGGTTGACCTGACGATGACAGCATCAGGAGTAGCAACCTGTCAAACTCACGAGTCCCCCTGCGTGTTTGCTGATAATGCGAGAATATGAGAGCTGCGGTCTCACGCAGGGTTGTTCTTTGGGGAACCACCTATCCTCCTCCAGGTCTTGGTATCGCCATCTCACTCCAAGCTGTTGACTTGGTTTCCCCCTTTTTTTTTTTTTGTTGTTGACTTGGTCTCCCCTGTCTACCGGTTCTACGATCAGCCTGACTTATAATGCGGTCAAACTTCAAAGTCATATATAAGATCTATATCAGGCGGAATTAGTGACGTACGTGAGGGAAAGGATTGTCGCAAATTAGGTGGCAACAGGTTTGAGGCATGGAAGACTGGATAAGTGCAAAGATGCGGAGGAACATCAATCATGTAAGATGTACCGTCAGTGTCTCCCTTGACATCTAGAATCCCCCATGGTCCTCTATATGCAGGTAGCAATTTTTGAGAATTCCGTTCTTCCGGCACGAATTCCTTGGACTCAGACTTCACCCAGACTACGTCACGTACTACGGGGGAGGGTAGTGTCTTGGTAGTGTTACATGACAACGGAGGCTGGTATTGGATAGGATGATATTATCTTTGGAAGGCTGTGTAGGGTATAAGGAAGACTAGGTGTTGCTTAAGGAGTAAGAGGTCTGGTTTGCTTAGGTGATTCCGTGAATTCATCAGTATTACCACCATTTTCAAAAAATTCATCAGTATTACCACCATTTTCAACAAAAAAAAAAAAAAAAAAAAAAAAAGGCCTTAGCTTAATGGGTAGAACACCGGTGTCCAATGCGCAGGGGGCAAGTGGTCTGATGCTCAGTGGTGGAGCACCGGTGCCAATCTGCGCATTATGGTCAAATTTGCAGGATCGAATCTGTCTAGCTACGGCTGGCTCTTCAGCCCCTGCCCCCTGCACGGTCTTGGGCCGGAGGACGTCCGACTGACGTGGCCATTTGCACCCACCGGGTTGTGCGAGTCTATGGGAATCGGGCGAGGGGAGGGGGTGGCCTCAGTTGGGGAGAGTTGGGGAGGGATGCCAACGCACGCCACCTTCCGAGCATGCATGATCGTGCGCCCCTTTCGGCGACAGGCGTGCGCATGGTTAGCTTCCCGGCAGGTCGCCCTGGGGGTTTGAGCTTGGGCCAGAGTTCGATAGTGGGATGCCCAGTTGCTAGCGATCGAGAAGCACCGATCTAGATTGATACCTCCCTGTGTGTGGTCGATGATGAGCGTCCCGCCCTTGAGTGCCTCCTGTGTCGTGGGTGAGCTCACTTCACTGGCAGGCAGCGCGAACTTGGCCCATCCGCCCTCTTGTCGGACGCCCTCCCTTACCACTATCCCTCACATCCAACACAACCTTTTTTAAAATCGCCTATTGCGGACTTTGAAGGTTTGCGGTGTTTGTTAGCTGGCTCTACCATCTTGAAGAGTGCAGGCCTGATGTTCTTTGTAACTTTTTGTAGGTCTTTCTTTCTATTTCAGTGCAAAAACTCGTGAGCACCGGATGGTAGTCTCTGAATCTTGTGCCATTGTACCTATTCATGTGCTCTGTCTGACCATTAGTCTCGGGGTGTCTACGTGACGATATGGTCAATTGCAACCCGTATGCTTTCACGAGTTGCTGCCAGTGTTCCCCTGCAATTCTGATATCTCTATCGTTAACTATGGCCAAGGGATGACCGTTGCACAAAAAACTTGAAAATTGCTAAATCTTTTTTTGCCTTCGGATGGCAAAGGAACAAATTCTGCATACTTGCAGAACCGGTCCACTATGGCCATAACTTGTGTATTTTCATTTCCGCCCTTAAACTTGGTGTCCATAAAGTCGATGGATATTAGGTCTCCAGTTCCTGAAGGAATAGGTAGAGGTCTCAACAGTCATAGTGGGCCTTGAGTCTTACGCTTGTTCCTTTGACCTACTCTACGCTCGTGTAAAGGTAAGTGATACAGCTCGTGTAAGTGTAAGTGATACAGTCTAACTTCATTCCAGGCCACGTGTAAAAGCATGGCAAGCTAGCATAAGTCTTCCCAAGCCAAAATGTCCCTTTGAATCATGGCTTCTCCCAGGATGATACTCTTAATCTCTTCACTAAAGGGGATGCACAAAAATGTCCCTTTGAATCATGGCTTCTCCCAGGATGATACTCTTAATCTCTTCACTAAAGGGGATGCCCGATCTATCTTCACCGTTGGATGTAAGAAACAGCAATCGTTAGCTATACTCGACCATTCATGCGGTTTCTCCTTGACCTTAGCTATAACCACTCTGTAGATCAGATCGGAGTCATGAGCATCCCTAATCTTATGTTTGGTCTGTTGCAAGTCCTTTCCCATGTCTAAGTAAGGGGGAATCATCATCCCAAAGGAATCTGCTCTTCTGGACAACGCATCGGCAACAACATTATACTTCCCTTTCACCGGTTTAAAGTCGAAATCAAACTGGTCTATGAACCTAGACCATCTTTGCAAGTTAGTAGACATTTGGCCCTGTGTTTTTAACCAGCATAGGGTCTCATGATCTTAATAAACTTTCAAGTGTCTTCCTACCAGACGATATTGCCATGTCTGCATGACTTCATTCTCTCATTGGTAGAGTCGACTACATTGGTGTGGACAGGATGGGATAATCAAGGGGTGGAGCCCTGCCCAAGGGACTACTGCTTGCATTTCCATACCTAGGTGGAGGTGGACCCAGCTATACCGTTGAAGCCACCTGAAGAGTATCCCGATCGTTTCCCTATACAAGAGAATTCATCAGTGGAGCTGAGTTGGTTCGGGAGGGACGTGTGATGACCGGTCGCTCCCCACTGGAGTCACACCTGCCTGCCCCACTTTGTTTTCTCCTCCCTTTCTGCTATTCAAATTTCCACACGGTTTGTGTGAAAAGAAAACACTCAAAAAAAAAAAAAAAAAAAGACTTCCTCACGCTTGCTAACGTCGGTAGATCGGCTACGGTATGTGCTTCTCGCCCCTTCTACACCTTTCCCAATTCTCCTCGTAAACCCCATTTTTTTTTTATTTTTTTTTTTTGTTCACTGCTGCTGTTGTCTCTCTTGTCCACCGGCCTTGTTCCAAGCACACCAGCTTGCCCTATTTCCAGGCTGCACATTTTCTCTACCATGCACGCAGCACCATTTTTTTTTTTTTTGATCACGTGGTCACTCTTGATGCCCACTGGACTTGAACTCAGCTCCGTACTTCAACAGCTTGCAGGTGTAGTAACCGGGCTGCGGCTGCTGCCATGCCAACTCAAACTCAGGTCCGCATTTCAGCAGCTCATGGGTGTACCAACTAATCCAAGCCTATGGTCACAGTGCTCTCCAGGGCATACTCACACTAGCACTTCAAATGCATCTAACCGCATTTGCAGCCCTTCATGAAAGCATCTGACAGCAATCACGTCCGGAGTCCTACCGAAAAAGCCTTAGTGTGAGGGCACACCGCCCTCTTTTTTTTTTTTTTCATCGTGCCGACGTGCTCTTTTTTTTTCCCTCTTTAAAAAGCCCGCTTTCACTTCACACAGGAATGGACTTTTCTACTCTGCTTGGCCATTCACACCGCCCGGAGACGCACGTACGTGCATGCACACACACACACACACACACACACACAAGCACGAGCACACACACACACACACACACACACACACACACACACACACCCAAGAAACTTGCTCCATGCTGCTTTGTGATGACCCACCGGAGCATGGGGCCCTTGCATGAACTGTGGCCAGTACGATCACACCATGGCTAAGTGCAAGAGTAAGCGGGTCGCCACGAAGGTCGCGTCCTCAATAGTGACGGTCGGATCTTCAAACTTTGGTGGTGCTTCTGCGAGCGCGCGCGCGCACGAGGTGCGCCGTGCGCGCAGCGCATGGGGACGCGCTAGCCCTGCAAGGTGCGCACTGTGCGCCATGCCTCTTTTCGGCGTGTGTGTGTGTGTGTGTGTGTGTGTGTGTGTGT